ATTGAAATGCACTAACAAATCTACAAGAGAAGGAGGGATGGGTGCCTGGCATCTGACTGTGTTCTGCTTGATTCCATCCAGACCAATTTAGTCATGAACATCATATTCATCCAAAACTTTAAAAGTCACACTCTTGACTTCACTTTATATGAATGTGCATAAAATGAGGAAAATAATCTCTTGGGGTAATAAAGATAGCTTTCTAACAGGGACTTTCCATATCCTTTATGCATAATCTGTAGTTGTCACTGTGTTGTTTCTAATTCTGCTGCATATCTATCTCTGTCTCTCTGAGCATGTCCATCTCACCAGCAAAGGCCACAAGCCTTTGGGATTATAACTCCCTCTCTCCAGCCACTCCTACTACTGTGCTTTACTGGTTTTGCTGCCCAAAAAGAAACTTGTATCAGTGCAAGCCTCAGGAGCTCAGAGGACATGCTTATTTGGTAACTTTAATTTGTCACTCCCTTTGCATTTATCACAAGATGATCTCATCACAAAAATACCTGAATTTCACACTCTTGCTGGCCTGCAAAGAAGCCAGTTCCTCCCCTATTTCTACCAACACACAGAAAGCTCTTTATGTTTCTATGATCAGATAAAATCTGTATTGACGTTTCTTTTCCTGTGGGTGTATTTCACTTCTAGGTATGAAGACTTAAAGTATCAAGGCAATGCTGTGTGTTTGCCATTTCTCTGTTTTAGTAAATGTAAAGCTCCTTGGGAAAAGAGAGCACATCTTTTCCACTAATGAGTAAATATTTATTTTCATTTTAAAATGATACATGCTCATTAAAAATAATTTAGAAAAATACATAGGAGTAAAATGAAGAAAAATTAAAGTAATTATTTCTATAATTTAAATCCAATCATTAATAACCATTTGATATATTTTCTTACTCTCATTTTCCCTTAAGGATATAGCATGCTGTTGTCACACTTTCTTTATAATTTTGTGTCCTGCTTTCAAAACTAACCTAAGAATTTTATAGTAATTATATAGTCTTTATAATTTTTTTAAAAAATATACTATTCCAGGCCAGCACATTGGCTCAGCCTATAATCCCAGCACTTGGGGAGGCCAAGGTGAGAGGATTGCTTGAGCCTGGGGGTTCAAGACCAGCCTGGGCAACTTGGTTAGACCTCGTCTCTACAACAAATCACAAAAAAAAAACTAGCCAGACATGGTGGCGTACATCTGTAGTTCCAGCTACTTGGAAGGCTGAGGTGGAAGGATCGCCTAAACCCAACAGGTGAGGCTGCAGTGGCCGTGAGCGTGCCACTGCACTCCAACCTGGGCAACGAGAGTAAGACTCCAAGTCAAAAAACAATAAATAAATAAATAAAAATAAAATGCTATTCCTGAAGAGAAACAGCTCTTAACCTAAATGTCCAACAAGAGCATTATTACTATTATTTACTTTCTGTGTCTTCACAGTGCCTTGCATGGAGAGTAAATGAGTCAGTCAATACATAATAAATTAATAAAAGTTCAAATCAGTTTATTTTTTAAAATTTTTATTATGAAAAAATTTAAATACATGAATGTAGGCAGATTGCTATAATGAACTCCTATGTACTCATTACCCAACTTTCACAGTGATTATCTAGCATCCTGTCATTTTTCTTACTATACCACCATGTTATTTTGAAGCAAACCCCAGACATATAGCATTTAGTACGTCAATATTTCAGACACATCGGGACATTTTTACAAGTTAATGTTAAAAAAAATTCAGATAAATAGTTCTAATCATTATATTCAGAAGTACTTTTCTTCTTAGTATCTTGACATTATATCTGCTAGTGTGTAACAATTGATTGTAAAATCTCATCAGTGAGTTACATAATATTCTCAGGCATATTCTAAAACCAGAGGGCAATTTGGATGACTAGAGAAACATTCCACAGATTTGGCTAAATATCTTGGGGAAAACTCTTTTTCTTTTGACACTTGTGTTACATGACTCAAATTTAGGATGATAATTTGAATACCAGATATATGCAGCATTAATTATATTCATTGCTGGATATATGTAATTTATGTTGTATATAATTCCTTATCTGAGATAGGAGAAAATGTAGTCCTCTGGCTAATTAGAACTCCCATCTAGCTGCAGCCAACCACCATGTAAATATGGCAAATCTACTTAAATCAAATGTAATACTGGATTTAAAAGTTCATAGTTTTTAAAATTTATTGGCAGAAATGGGAAATATGTGATGGGTACATGGGATATCTAGGAAGTCTGAAAGGGGTAAATTATATAGTAAAAGTTCTGAGTCATATTTTAAGAAAACACTATGTGGGAAGGAGATTGTGCATTATAGAACAAAGAGTGCTTTCTATGTGTCTGTATTTATTTCTCTAGATTATTCTAACAATATTTTAGAGAAACCTCTGTGAGCCAGCTTTCCATGGCTAGACTAGATCCTTTATACAAAGAAGCCGTCAGATGAGAAAAGTTTTGTGCAAATTAGGCTCTCTGTAGAGAAACTGTACTTAGGGTTTTGTGCTGCCTCACTGTCTTTGAATAGTAGGTCAATGACTGTTCAGTAGCAATGTGTTGTCCAACAGGTGTATTACACTCATCAGAAATTCAGGATGTAAGTAACTGTGTAACATACTGCATCAGTATAAACTGAATTTATGTGTTACTCAGGTCTATTTAATCTTAGAAGCACATTTTCCATTGGCCTCGAAAGTGAGTAGCTAGAATATTGATGTGCCTAACCCTTGAGGAAGAAAAAAAAAGTTTTTCCACTACACTAAATCTCTAGGAAAATATGAGGGTTTACAGTATGGACATATACAAAATATTTTCAACCAATGCTGGTAGAGCAAAGCACACACACAAAAAAGTAATAACATAAGCAATAAACCATCCCAAGCAAACAGAGAGCATCTGTAAAATTTGCCAGTCTGGATGGTATAAACAATACAAATTCTTTTTCTCTTTCCATTTTTTTCTCTCAATTTTCTGATTATTTCTCTTTTCTCCTTTACCCTGGCCTGGCATCACCATCATTAAAATGTCAGCAAAAGGTTAGAAATGTATCTGATGGCTTGGCTAAGGCGGCTAAGAAAAGATAAGGTAGGATTTAGCCACTACACTATTTTAAAGCTGCAAGGATGTTTTACCGTAACCCATAATTCCTATATTTAAAAACAGCTAACCTTTTCATCATTATTTTAAGATTGACACTAACAACACAACAGCTAAAATGAAGTCATACATCTTCTTCACTTCTTTCTGCATTCTTTTCTTGCATGTGGTATTGGATTATGTACCTCACATCATACAAAACTGGAATATAAACTGCCCTTTAAAAAGAATCATAGGTTTACCCACATTTCTTTCTAGCTTATGTATTATATACTACACCCAATACCTCATCATTATAATAGCTATAATTATTACTATTAATGATAACGTTTACTTGTTGGAATGTGTATACACAAACCATTTCCTTATGCTTGATGTTTCCTTATCCTTCACCTCGTGGGCTCCAGGTGTTTGTTCAGTTGCTGTTACATTTGTGACCTTACCGTATCCTCAAGTGATAAAATATTTCTCAGAACAAAGTGGTACTTTACACCCTCTACCTCTTTCCTTATAGGTAAGTTCAGAGTTGTCGTTGGATGACTCTGCTTATATAGGGCAGGGAATCCTTTGCAAATACCCCCACCAACCAAGATTTTCATTTTAGACCTAAAGACATTGACAGTCACAAAAGAAAAAAAATGTTTTGGTCAGATCATCAGATCCCTGTTTCATGATGTGAGCATATTTTCTGTATAAACTCTGTTGGACCTGTAGCACATAATCATGCACAATTAGCATAAGGATGGGAACTGTAGCATTCCCTTACTGAGATAATTTTGGTGACTCTGCTTCACCTGAAGTGGTGAGGGAAGGATAAATACCCCACTAAAGGCAAAGATATTCAAAGAGGTGTTTCTGTAGCCAACTCAATCCCTTACTGTTGGAAATAGTGAGGAGAAATCATTTCTCCCCCTTAACTAGAGATTACTTTCTTCTTACCTAGAGCCTGTGTTATGAAGAATATACTTTGGAGATGGTCTTATCTTTTGGATACTGCTCCGTTAGGAAATCATGGTAGGCTCCATAGAGAACTGGCTTCGTATATTCTGTACTCCTCTATGAAAACATTCCTGTTGTGCTGTTGATGTGTACTTCTTGGTCAACAGTAATTTGCTTGTTGGGTATTTGATGGCCACTCTGTGAATCGACCTAATGTATTTGTGGTGTGGAGATCTGTAACCTCTGAGAACTAAGTTTAAAGACTCTCATCATTAATTATTGAAAGGTGTTTTAGCCCTTCACTATTTCTCTCTCTGGTCCACAAACAAGTTGATTGGTTAATCATGTCTTTGTTTATTTTTATTGTTATTGCTATACACATTGCACATAAATCAAGAAAGAGGAAAGGCTGTTTGTAAGAGGTAATTACAATGGCAAAGTTGTATTTTCTCTAACTGCTCTCACTTTCTTATGTCTGATTATATCAAGACCAGCACTATAGGAAGTGTGTTTCAGTTTTGCTAAGAAACTGATAGAGAAGAATAAATCCAGTTCTATAAAGTAATGTCAAACAAAATTTGACACTACAAATTTGAAATTACAAATTTCAATGGTTTACTCAAAATTTATTCTGTCACTGTGGGAAGACTATGATTTCTGGTCACATCTTTTGAGAGTAAGGATCCAAAGCAAGGAAGAGACAGAAACTGTTTTTGAGACGCTTGAAGATCCAAGACTCTTAGGAGCCTCTATTACTTCTAGGATGGCTTATCCAGCCCTTCATAGAATCAGAATTCACAAGTTTTCTTTAGTTCAAACAAAAATCCAGAGGTTAAGTGGATCTTTAAGATTGTTTCCAGGTTATCCTTTCAACAAACATGTATTGGTTTATCTGCTATTATTTAGACAATCTATGATATGACAGGTGAATGTGAGCCCATTTTTTTTTCTTGACTTCTAACTCCTTTATTTATTATTTACTATTTTCATTTAAGCAAGTAGAAATCTCTGTGTGGATTGTTAAAGGCCCTGTACATATGTGCATGTAGCCAAATTCAGTCCCTTGCAGGAACTCTGGTTGTCAACCAGTGATCTTGCCTTTGTCTTTTCTCATGGTTCTGCCTGTGGCGCCTGTCACTAGCAGTCAAATAAGGACAATTTTACCATTCTCTCCTGCTGCTCTAATTTTTTTTTAGTGCCGGTACATGAATTTGTTATTCTTTATAATTCCCTTTGAAGTTGGAAATCCAAGGGGAATCTAAAACCGACCAGATGTTTCTGCTGCTGGAAAGGGAAAAGAGTAAGGATTAAGTTTAACAAAAACTTGGTCTCTAAAAAAAAATCATTTCAGCTGGAAATCATCTCTAAGTGCATTCATATGTTACATATCTGTTAGTTAATTTACATTTACTATCCTTATCACCTATTAATTGACTCTGAGGAAAATTCATACATTTTGCGAACAAACAGATTCATGCTGTGGTTTGCTCTGGATTGTTTTCCGTATGGAGTTTCTGTTCTGTGACTCGGCATATTCTTCCTCACATGCTTTATAGTGATGTTTTTCTGTTGATGTTGTTGTTATTGTTATTGTTTTTGAAGTATCACTGTCATGTCACATCAGGTTTGGAAGCCAGTTTTGCAAACTGATCCAAGAGGATGAGGTCAATGCAGCCTGCAGTTAGGGAGGGAAGGAAAGAAGATCTGCCAAAATGCTTAGCCTTTATAGAGAACTTCATCCTCGTTAAAGATATGTAGATCAAAACAGGAACAAGAGTGATGAAGACCTTTAGGGGCAAAAAAGAAAAGTCTTGTGGTCTTTCAAGGCATTGCAGATGACATTGCAGATGGTGTGAATAAATAGGTTAGGATAAGAAAAATGATAAAGTTAGGTATATTAAAACACAAAAGAGAAAAGGGTATCTGTGAGATGACATTTATGGGACCTCTCAGAATGGGAGCCTAAGGCTTCAGACCTGAGTACAAAAGGGAAGAATGATTAAAAAGTAAAATTGGAGAAGGCTCTTAAAACCCAATCAGAATGTTTCAGTGGTTTGCGTAATACTTCGTAAAAGTGTTGGACTGCAGAAATGGATGTTTTATTTGCTCGTTTCCTGCCCAGCATCTCTCACACTATCCTCTTACATTGCTCTCTGAATTTCTCAGTCTTCTCTGGGCTTTCAGGAGGACAGAGAATTCTGTGAATAACTGCTTTGCGCCCCTTACCTTGCTCAGTGAATCACACATTTGGAAACATTTCCCATACCTCATGAGGGATAAATACTCACCACTCAGAGTTTCTATTACCCCATCCTATCTTATTTTTAAATAGAAAGTCTGAATCCTCAGTAATTATATTAAGCTTCTTAAGCTGCACATATCAATCGCATATACCATTTTAAGCATTTTTTCTGCCTTTTGAAAGAGAGAATAGAGGAAAAGACAGAGAGAAATCACTTAGCAGCTGATTCACTTATTTTAAGCAGCTTTCTTCATTTTAAAATATAAAAAATTCAGGTCCTAGAACATTGGGTTATTTGAATGTTCTGTAAAGATTTGAAAAAAGATTTTTTAAAAAATCATATGTTCTACATTCAGGAACCTGGAGTTTCCGTTTAGTCCTAGGAGAAAAAAAAGGTTGAAATAAGGGAGTTTTCAACCTAAACAGTTTTTCTTCTTCCTTTTCATTTATTTATTTATTATTACTTTTTCTTTTTTTTGTCAAAGCAGATGGTATGAAAAGCATTTACGTTGGTCTCACTACTGACAGAGCTTAACCTTAATAATCCAAGACTTGGAACTTGGTGTTTCAATAAAGGAAACACTGTTTGAGGTATTTTCCATTCAAACCAGCATCAAAAGTTTTTAATTAACACCATCAGAAATTAATGGGCTGAATGCAAGACAGGGTTCCTACATAACCCTCTACTGGGGGCAAGACAGCAAGTGGAATCCATTGTGTATGTTTGTATTTTGTTATGTATTTTTATTTACTTATTGAAGCAGAGTCCCAGCTGCACATTGCGTGGCAGAGCCACAAGAGTGAAACCTGCAGAGGGCTGCTTCACTCCAGCAGTTTCATTTTGCTCACTGATTATTGTCCTGAGTTCTTTGTGATTGTAATTGGTTAGAAAGTTTGAAATTAGCAAGTCCTTGTCAGCCCATGAAAGCTTTGAAATCATGGGGCTTGATACAGCTATCAAGTCTGCTGAAACCTAATCGCTTTTCAGGCTAAGAGCCTCCAGAGCGGTAACATTCCCAGTGTGCAGCCTTTCCCCAGTCACCATTCACCACCCTCTGGAGTTCTTGTCTCGGGTGGTGGCTTTGTTTGGGGCCCTTTCTTTTCCATCACTGAAACCTTTTGCGAGATGAACAGATTTGGGACTGACTAATGGGAATGGGGCTATTAGAAAATGAGAGCAATTGGGGAAAAGAGAGAAGTAGAGGATCAAGGGAATAGGGAGGAAGGAAAAGGGGTAAAAAGAGCATAAAAGAAAAAGGAAGCGGGATATAAGATGGAAAGAGCTTTGTAAATATTGACATTCGGTTTCTGTGTGACTGGATTTGATATCTCGGGATGAAACTCACTGATAAAGCCTAAATGGTCCCTGGGTATCTTTATTTTTTTTATTTTTTAAGACTTGCCCATTAATTGTCAAAGGGAAGCCACATGTGTTCATATAAGGGACCACCACCTACCCATCAATGCTGCCACCACATTTTGGGGGACTAGGAATACAGTCCTTTCCTTCATAAATTAAAATAGAGGAGTTAGGCTTTATCAACTCTTCTTCCATAACCATAAAAGTATCTACTATTTACCCTTATGCTCTGAACCCCCAAACCAATATTTCCCAGAATATTCCTTCACTGCTTGGTCAGTTGCAAAATAAGCTGACTTTCATCCTTGTAGCAACACAAGAGCTGCTTGGGCAGGGTTAACTAAAGTAGATAGATACTGTCGGCAACAATGAAATGTTTATAGAAGCTTAAAGGTCTTAATAACTTTCTATAAATCTGATTCGTTTATGTTCAAAGCCTTCAAGCTTAATATATTTAGGTGCAACTTTTAACTTTTTCCAATTTCTCCTCTACTTTAATAAAAACAAAAATAAACACAAACCAAATACAACAAAAACAACACAGATCTTATTGTCACGAATCCAGAATGTCAGAAAAAATTTCACTAGGTCTAATCATGGCAAAATGCTGCAAAAATGTATCACCATTTTTGGAAAAGCTCCCCAAAGTAGTTCAACCATTTTTTCCCTGAAACATGGAAAGATCAATACATATCAGACTTCTAAAGGAAAATAATTGGTGAATGATTGTCAGAATTTTCATAAGAACTGCTGTAAGTCTGGTCTTGACATCATAGCCAGAGAATCAGGTAAGCCTATTAACAAAACATCATTTTTCTATTTCTTAGCTAGACAGTGTCAGGATTTATTGTCCCAAAGTTTGACCTCTTGAAGGAGTCAGAGAAACCGTGTGTGAAGCAGAATCTAGTAAAGAAGATGCAGCCTAACTCTTCTCAAATCATCTTTTTCGGATACTGTGTCATATTGCAAAGTATATTATCCCGCCACCTACTACCCCAGTAGGCTACTCCAGCAGCTGTACCTGGAACTTCTGTGATAGTCCCTCAGGTCACCTCTGATTTCAACCACACCTGAAGCTGTTCTCTGCTAGCTCAGACTGTTCTGTTCTCTCCCACCTCATTATGCTTTTTCTTCTGTTCCAGGACCTTTTCCAATGCTGGGAGAGCTTAATAAATCTATGCTGGATGAGGGGAGAGGGACTTAGATGAGTGAAGCTTAATGCCCTTGCTTAATGCAACTCTCAACAAAGGAGGAACAGAGCTGGAAAAAGACATGTTCCAGCCTCCATTCCTTTCTGATGGCTACCTCTGGAGGCATTTTGACATTTTGTTCCTCAGAGATCCTGGAGGAATCAAACCTCAGTTGCCACATCGGTGGCCTTGTTGACACATCCTTATTATTGCCTCTTCCGCCTTTCTGAAGCAGTCTTGCCACTCACTCACTCTTGCCTTCTGAGATTACCTTCTAAATTACTGCCTGCACCCAAGCCCAAGTCCTTGTCTCAGACTGTTCTTTGGAGAAAACCTAAAATTAGCCAGGTAGTCAGTTTTGTTTGTTTACCAGTCAATTCATAACACATTCTTCTCTACTGTTTATTACCCACAGTGCATTATTGTGCATTCATAACATGGTCCCCAAAACTATGTAGAAGCCCAATTGCTCGCCTCGAACAGGTAATAGCATATAGAGAGAGAAACATTGCTTTGTTTACCTGTAGCCTCCTGAATCTAGCACTGCCATGGCACATAATAGTTGCTCAATTAATGTGTGTTGAACAAGTGAATAAATATATAGTATACACCAATAAATTTTTTGCCAATAAAAAGTACTGATGTGATTCAATCAAGTGTGAAATGTGTTAAAGTGTAGGTATATGATTTACCCCTAAAATGAAAAAAAATTAATAAGAAAATTAAATTAAAACAAATATAAGATTGTTTCTATAATAAGGTTACACTTATATTTTCCTATTTTCTTATATCCTTTATTAGATGGAAGAAAATGAGTAATATTTTAGTTTGTATTCCAGAAACTGCAAATAACCCTTGGTTCAACCCATGGAAATGTTTTAGATTTTAAATGTCTTTCCTGTTCATCAAGGTAGGAAAAAAAGTTTGAGAACTTCAGAGTTATACTGTAGGAATGGTGGCAGATCAGAATTATCTGATCACAGCCAACAGGCTTTTAGGTGACTCTTGTTTTGGGGTATTTGTTGCTGTAATTATGTGAAGCCAGAATGGAATGAGAGAAGGGGAAGTCTTGTTGATGTCTGTTTCCTAGTCAGAAATGTAAGACCCACTCTATCTATAATCAGCACCAGGGAAGAGTCCCACCTTCCATGACAGAGATTAATGAGGCTCCAGAACACAAGTGACAATGGAAAGTTCAGATCTCTGTTTCTGTATCTCAATATCTAAGACATGGATATGTAAAGGTTCTTTCCAGAGTGTGGTGACCAATCACGTTAACATCACATGCTTCCCCTTTCTAACCCGTGCCTCAGTTTAGACTGAAGAAAGTAAAGAGTGAGGAATTCTTCAGGAAAAGGCACCTTAATTTTCCAACTAATTTATTTTGGTCCCAGGTTAGTACAAAAGGACATGATGTTACATATCAGCTATATTTCTCTCTTCAAAAATAAGAATAATAATCCCTACTTTTAGAAAGTGTATCAACTGTTAATCTAGAAAGATAAGCTATTGACAATTATTGAATCTGTCCCCCACCACAGTATCTAAAATCTCTGATAATTTCATGTCTGCTAATATTTCAAAGCAAGTCACTGAGCCAAACTCAAAGTCAGGAGACAGAGACATCTCATCTCCCACATTAACACATATGCCAATGAGAATTACAGTAAAGTCATCATATGGTAAAGTGTATGGATGTAAAGTTACATTATAGAGTGCGAGTGAAGAATTAGGGGAAAATAACCTAATCTACCACATGTACTACTTATTGGTTTGGCTCCAGAAACAAATGACTTGAATAAACAACTTAAGAAGTCAATATGATATAAGGGACTGTTTCATTAGAGGCTGGTAGCACATTTGCAATTGCAGATTCTCTAACCACTTCCAGTGTCTTTCTTCATAGATTATCTTTGAATTCAATAATAACAGTAACCACTAAATAGAAATATGAGTCAGAGAAAACATACTAGGTTAGAAATGAAGAGCTTGCATTCTGTTTAAGCTCTATCACTAATTGAAGGTGAAATCTCACACAGTTCTACTGATTTCTTCCCTTAGTATTATGATCTCTAAAACAAAAATGCTCCCTGTACCTACTTTTTTTTTTAAATTTTTCTTGTTATAGAAAACATGCATAGATTGGCACTGTAGAATACTGTATGTAGAATAAACTACAAGCAGCTTATTCATTGATTAAAATTACTCACAATCATTTATGAACAATATACTTTGAAACTTTGGGATATACCTTTCTACTCATTTGTTTCTGTTTATATATATGTACCCTTTTCATTTTTGATAAAACACTGTGTGTACTGTTTTATATCCTATTTTGTCTCTTAAATCTATGTTATGACTAACATTCTAATGCCTTTAAATAATTTTCAATGTCATTTTAGTGTAGGTTTATTATACTTCACATTCACTGTCCTATTTTTACAAAATTTAAATCAGATGTCATAAACTCTTTAAAATCACAATGTATTTTTTTAATGTTTAAAAGTATTATTATTATTATATAATTGTAGAGATTGAAGAAAAAAGAGAAAGTGACTAACATTTAATGAAGGCCTATTCTGTGCCATGCCATGTGTTTAGAACTTTATTTAAGCTATCTCATTTAATAACCTTTTAGTCTTGTGAGGCTAAAGTCTGTGGGCTGTAGACTCTCTAGTCCAACTGTATGGTTGCTAACTAACTTTGTGATCTTGCAAAAGTTTATCTTATCTTTGACTCAGTTTCTTTACTGCAAAATGGAAATTATGATAATAATAGCACTCACCTCCAAAAGACTGTTCTAAAGATTAAATGAGTGAATACATGCAAAATGTTTAGAACAGTAGTATTCAACAAATATTAGCTATTATATTCTTTCACCACCTGAAGTCCCACTAGTTCACTAACCTTTCTGTTAAAATACAAATCTACATTGATTTTTAACTTCTTTAATATAGAAGTGGACTCTAAAAAGAGGCAATATAATATTAATGGAAAAGGTCAAGGACTTCAAAATTGTTGATCCTGGCTCCTCAGCATTCTAATAATATGACTCCTTTAGTTAAAAGAGTTTGGTTTAATTTTAGTCAAAAATTTAGTTAAGATTCTCACATTCAGTCATGCTTTTATTTAAAATGTGTAAATATTAGCCATCTTAGTGTTTTTATGAGGTTTTAAATGAGATAATACACATATAGAGTCTACTATCTTGCCTAGATAATAAATAGCCTCATAAATGTTAGTCTTTTCTCCCTTGCATTGCTATTAAATTGTTTTTATAGCTAGTATCTCTGGGCAGATAAATTTATATACTTTTGCCAGTTGCCACAGGCACTCATACATTAGTGTGAGACAGTCAATAAATACCTAAAAACCATGGAGGCAGTGATGCTAAGTAGTGAATTGGTACATTCCTGGGCTTTCTACAGTCTATCACTAGTTTGCCTGACTCTAGCATGGTCTGTATTCTTTAAATGTGCCCATTGTTTGATTCAACAACAGACATTATCATACAATAGTTTTCTTTTCCTTATCCTGTTGATTTGTAAAGGTTTTTATTAAAGTAAACAAAACATTTTTATAAATCAGCCTTTAGTTCCTTCTGTAAGCATACAAAATTATTAAATGAATGAAAAATCTGGAGAGAATAATTGAATGAATAACTCTATCATAGTCATCCAATAATTATTGAGTATTAGCTATGACAGTGTAGCATTTGGACATCATTACTTGACAAAATATATTAATACACTATGCTTGTTTTATTTTGTTTGTTTGTAAAACTTAGATGAAAGAGTCAAGGCCAATACCCTCAGGCTGTTAACCATCTAGATTCTAGAAGAAAAGAGACTTGGAAATAAATAGCTTTAATATAAAGCAGGATTAAACAGATGCTGTGGGAAACCAGAGGAAGTGGTTGATTTTAATATGAATGAGAAGGAAAATTTTGGGAAAGGAGTGCCCTTTCAAGTTGATATTGTAGAATGAATGAGGTCTTCACCTAGTAGGAAAAAAAAAAAGAATAAGTCAATCTGGGCTGAAGAAACATTCGGAGAACTGAAGCATGAAGCTATGATAAAATCTGGTGTGTATAAACCATGTGAGGACACTAGCGTGATGAAACAATAGGGCATAGTGAAATTTAGTGG